TAGAGCCCTCCTATCACAAGTAATGTCCCTTCCACATCTACAGCTTGCCACCAGAGATCCGATTCTGTCCGTTCAGATCCAACCTCAACTGGATGCATTGCGGTCCCACACTAAGCAGCGTTGTCCCCCAACCCTTGACTTAGCAGATCACTAGCTGATCCCCCTTCGGACAGGCGTAGAGGGCCTACCTCCCTCCTATTAATGTACAGTACCAACCCCCCTTATCCACTTATCCTACCCACTCCTCATGAGACAGGCTCAGTACAGTTCTACCCGACCTACCCTTTATCGGCATCCACTCCACTAGTCCCTCCAGCCCCTATACCCATCTCATAGCCTCACCCTTGCTTGGTCCCTGGTGGGACGTACTCCAAAAATAAAGGAAACCCCCCAAACTCACATTCCACACTCTCTACACCAATGTTGGGCCCTGAAGTGGCCCGTGTGGGAGCTGCGCATACCACACTTGTCTCCCTCCGCGCTAACAATTTGTGCCAGTGGGGGTGTTACCTGTACTGAACCCACCTGAGCTTGTAGCGCAGCAGCGATGGCATTCAGCTTGCTGTCCATGGAGCACATCTTACTCTTCAGCACATCCAGGTCATCGAGCTTGGCCTTCATAGTCGGCAGCTCATCTACATGAGCGGATTGAAGAGTTGAAAGGGCTGCTAACCTGCCATTCAATTGGCACTCTTTTGGCCAGCTGCCTCGTCCTCCTCAGCCAGGCTGTTTCCCTCTTCTCCTCTTCCTCCTGGCATTTTCGCCCGTTTCAGCCCTCCTCGTCAACACAGCAATCTTATCCTTTGCACTAGCTGCCATCTTGGGATGCTTCTCTAGGACCCTCTTGTTTGTATTCAGTTCTGACAAGTGCTGGTGCATTAAGGCTTTATTCTCAGCCTGCTGCCTTGTAATGATGTACACTTGCTGCTCTCTTCTTCAACTACCAAGTCCTTTAGAACTCCCTGGCTCCTTATCCTTTCATGCATGGCGGTACGTTTTTGGGGAAACCTTGAAGAGCGAAGTTCCATGTGATAGAATTAGTTACGAGTCGGCAAGGTAGGTGCTGAGATGTCACTTGCTGATGTCGCACCTACACTGACATGATGTGGGACCCAATCACCAAGCCAACATTCCAGTCGTTTCCAACCTGTGTTGAGACATGCGAGTCCTGAGCCAATTTTAGCATCTAGCACTCATTCAAACTTGATTTGAAGCAGAGTGATTCATGGAAAACTTACACACCAAACTCGCACGGAGAACAGTACTTGTGCGCTTCATTGAAATGAGAAAATGTTTGTTCACTTAGGTGCTTGGCTGCCCTGGGTATCCGGCAACAAACTGCACATAAAATAACACAATGTTGAGCCAGAACACAATGGGCTATGTCCGCGCCCAGACTCTCTCCATTTACGTTCTAAAATTAGTGCTGCTTCTTTGTCGTATCATGAAAAACCTCACCAATGAAGTTCACCACTACCTTGCTACTTTTGTTCAATCGATTTTGCCTGGGGCTATGGCCTGCTGCTCGCAGCTCTAGAGTGTTTCTACGGGTCCGGGCAGTTCTATTTGACGATATATATCCTGTCTCTTATACACATCTAGATGTGTATAAGAGACAGCTCTCTCCACAGACCCCCACACAGAAAGAAAACAAAAACACATTAGAAAGAAATCCTATTTCCCCCCTTGTGCTACACGACTGGGGGGCATCGCCCCATGTTTCCTTTTTTTTTTTGAGGCCTGTAAAAACCCGCGAACAATTCGTTTGCGGGTCGAATACAACCGAGTACAACGCTGTTTTGTACTCGTGTACAACGTGTTGTAGGCGAGTATTAATTTTTTTTATTTTTGTATGTGAGACACGCCTAGTACCTATCGAGTAGAAGAGCTTTATGGGTAAAGTAAGCGCATATGCTGTGCAGTCTGGCACCCTTCACCATTTTCTCATCTGTGTCCATGTTTCTGTCTGTTTGTCGGCCCGTCGATCTCTCTCTCTCTCTCTCGCACTCATCATTACTCTGCTACTCATTTGTCTCACCCGTTAGTTGTTCATGCTCAATTTATTTTCTTCTTAAAAGAAGGTATCCCAAAACGTTATTGTATTTATCTGATTCCATCAAACTCGTGACCTGTTTACCGACAGTTACATCTGTTTCCCATTCAGCCACATATGCCAGGTATCATTCATCATCATTCATCATCAACTTATTTCACGTCAGCGCTGATTATATCTGTACCAACCCTACGTATCATCTGTGACAGCATTATCTCTCATCTGTATCGAGGCTATATTATCATCTTTGGGAGGACTGGTTAGTAGTTACCAACCATCCATCCCTGTTCCTTTGGAAGGAGGGCTCAATCATTTCCTCTCTTCGGTTGCAGCAAGTTCGCCCTCTTTTGTCCTCCGGTGAGTTCATATTCTCCATCTTCACAAATTGAATATGACGATTTACACGGGGCAAGTAAGTATGTCATGTCAGAAATCAGTCTGGCATCAATTTGCAATTCATGATCTGGTCATCGGGGACTGGAGAACACAGCTATGATACCTCTGAGTCATTCAGGAGACCTTTCTTATTTCCATGACCTGTTCGCTTCTTACACAGGTTCTAATATCTGTGTCGATTAGTCAAACCTTTGCTTCATTTCAAGATTTGACTGGTACTACAGACAACTAGGAACTATGGGTTGGTGTGTAACCTTGGCGTTTGACTTACGGGATATGGGCATGTTGAGGACGTTCTCAGTAGGACAGGTAGTGGTTGAGGGCATAGATCTTGTTGAGTATTTTACTATTTTGTCAACAGTGATATATTCCTCCCCCTCCTTAGCTCACCCTCAATCCTTTCCGTTCCTGCCCGCTCTGCCGATGCCATCATTCTAACCCTTCAGGGTCCTATTTTGGAGTTCTTACGATTGATTGGTCACCACATTGTCAAGTAGAAGAAACAACGGAAACACTCCTTGTCCAGGTGAGAACTTTCTTTTTTTTTGAAACAATGGTGGTCCCGTCAGGTTTTGAGTTCGGCAAGGCAAAGAAAGACACTAAATTACACTTTGGTCATGGCATGAGTTTGGAATGTTGACTTTGTTGAACTCACACCCTCTGCACACCATGGCCCGCCCCTGTAGTTATGACATCTGCACTTATTGCAAAGTGCCCAACCACTTTTATTGCCTTTTTGAATTGGGCGCTTGTCCTTTTCGGCAGCAAGTGTTTGTTTTGCCAATTCAAAACTCGTTTGTGACTGAACTACATTTAACCCCCCCCCCCCCCTCAACGCCCTTTTTTTTTTTTTTTTTTCACCACCGCTGGGAAAGCTCGAGTCTGTTCATGTGGAGCTGCTGGGAACAGAGGCCAGCGTCCCAAGATGCAACGTGGGAAAAATGTTTAGCATGACATTGAATACCCTGGAAGTCCCAGGGGATTTATTGTCTGTGATCTAGAATGGACATGACCTAAGACCTGCTTCTTCAGTCCTGATGGGGCCGCCAGAACAAAGCCTGACTCCCTAGCAGATCTTCCACAAGAGAGCCAGTCGCCGATCCCCATCATCCGCTTCCATAACAAGTGAGATCCACCTAAGAGTTTTCCGCCGAAGGAAAGAGATCCACAAAATCTGAAGCCAGCCTCAGAGGGAAAGGCTCAATAATATCTGTCCAAGCAGAAAAAAATCAATTGCATCCCTTGAGACTCGGTCACAGCCCCCTCCAAGGTGGGAGCTGCTGGAGGACCTGAACAAAAAATATTGGCACCAAGATCGTTCCTGTTTTGTAGGCAAGGCTGTTCTAAGGTACCTCCTTATTTGCCAAGGAGTGGGCCAGGATATGGTGGCGTGCGTTTTGTCCTAAGGTGAATCATACGTACAGATGTTTGTTTTCCTTTCCTAAGCTACGTTTTGTCCTAAGGTGAATCATACGTACAGGTGTATGTTTTCTTTTCCTAAGCTGAATCCTTCCACCGGAAAATAAAGATTTGAGTGGTGCCTTCCTTTCTTTCTCTTCTCTGAATTTCTCGTTCTACCTGTCTTTTGTATGCTGTGTCTCTGTCCTGTATTTCTACTATTCTGCATTTGCACTTCTGGTTTGATCTACGTGTGGCATTTTTAATGTTTTCATGTCC